CTCTCTCTCTCTCTCTCTCTCTCTCTCACTCACTCACTCACTCACTCTATTTAAAATCAAATTCTAGGTAAACCTTATCAGTTGATGTAAATGTCAATTCCTTAAATACAGAATACCCAGAATGTTGATCCAAACTGACCAGTGATAGTGTTATGGTTCGCACAAATCCAGGCTGATATACTACTGCCATATCTGATGCTAATTGGATAACCATTTTGTGCATAACAGTGCCGTCGGTTTTATTAACAACTCGCGTGGAATTCCAAACGAAAACGACATGGGTGTTTAGTTTGTAAAATGGCCAATATATGCCCTGGTACATTACCAGTCCTGGTGTGCGTCCGTCACACAATTTAATACTAGAGTGCCGTTCGTTTGGTTGGTACTTAGCCATCATGTAGTGCAGGTGCTTATATACTCCCGTTCCCCTGCCCTGGGTATCCGTCATTTCGTAGTTGTTAGCATTGAAGTCAGCTTTCAATGAATGGACACACATCACAATAATTATGAAAACAATTATTGACATAAATAGTGAAATATATTATATATTTTTAGAAATTGTGATAATATTTAAAACTTCTTGTTTTAAACTTTAATACAAAAGTGTTTCTAACTATTGAGAGACATATGTTATATAATATTCATTTGCATTGCGATTGATATTTAAAGGGTATCTTTGCTTATTTATTGGTGTAATATTATAATATAGTGTACATCATCAGCAATATCATTTTAAAACATATTTAGGCATTAGTAATAAATAGTGTTCTCTTATTAAACAATTCTATTATGTCTGTAAAGGAAGTGGGTTAAATTTCCGTAAATTAATATTCTTGACATATTATTACTTTAATTTTCTAAATATATAGTTAGTTTAATATTTAATTATTTTAAGTTACTAAAAACTGTTATATGAAAAACACTGTATTTATTAAGAATATACAGAATTGAATAATAATTGTATTCAGACTTTGAATTACATTTCAATTACTGTATTTGTAATAAAGTTATCAAATATTATTTTCTTTGACTCATTTGATCTGTTTTTATATAATTTTTTAAATACAGATAATATGTAATATTATAATTAATATATTCATCGCATGAATACTGTGGTTAGGAAAGAGTGAATAGACTATCGAGAGAGAGAGAGAGAGAGAGAGAGAGAGAGAGAGAGTCACTCAACAATTCAACTAATTATAAGCTTTTTAAAAGTTATGGTCGTTTTTGCAGCGATTTTTTTATAATGAAATCTTTTCACAGCTTATGTATTGTGCACTCAATTATTGTAAACTGATATCCAATTGACAAATAATGGAAACCTATTTTTATAATGGATTTAATCCCCATTTTTCGTAAAATAGTGTAAAAGAGAGTGAAAATGGTTTTCAGGTTTACAGATATTGAATGGATAGCATACATAATACACTATTTAAATATTAATTTGTTTTATTGAAAATAAAAATAGATGTTATTATTTATATAATCCAGGTTCTGGTTTAATTTACACATAGAAAACAATTTAATTTGCAAATGAAATATATTTTATAATGTGTAAATAAATTGTTTAAAATACGTTTAAAATAGATTTCTTAATATTAAAATCTTCCAATCTATTATATAATTATTGATTTAAATGTTAAAATTAATGTAAATACTTTCTATACAGTACAATATTACGGCATTAAAATAATTTATTTTATGTGAATATTTAAGAAGGTTTATTATATAATCTGTTCATGCTAAAGTAGTTATGATATAAATCAAGCCATGATTATGTATAATAACGATCATTAAATTTCATAAATGTTTAGTGAATTAATATTCCCAAACACTGTTTATCGACATTATGTGAGTGAGTGATAGTGAGAGTGAGTGAGTGAGTGAGAGAGAGAGAGAGAGAGAGAGAGAGCGAAAGTTTAATAATAAGCTT